ACACACTCGGGCTCCTGGGCGTCTTCCTCTGCAGGTCTCCTGACAGTGCAGTGTCAGGACTAGAAGATGACCACAGGGTCTGTGCTTGGTGGGTCCGAGCCAGCCTCACCGACCCCTGACACCTCTCTCTCGGGTGGGATGTTCTGTCTCATCTCTTCAGCAGGGAACCCTCAGAGCAGCCAGGTTCGCTTGACAGCGTTTGTGGTGGGAAATCAGAGAGAAGCAAACCGCTCCTCTGCAGAAGAGAGGCAGGGACCTGCAGAGCAACCAACTCCCAGAAGCCAGATTCAGACCCAGAGCTCGGCGGGTGAGGCTGGGAGGAGGCCGGAGCTCAGAAACACCCAGAAGTGTCCAAAGTGCTTCACACAACAGGCTTCCACTCCTTCCCAACAACGAGGCTGACATCTGGGCACGGTTTAGAACCACCGTTTATTTGATGCAACCATAAGACTCTGGCATTTGGCAAGGCGATGAAGGCCACTGGGCCACAAGGAGAACATGATATGGTCAAGCTAAAGAAAATGCACCTACGAATCACATTGCACGTCCTCTGGGGACTGCAGATCAAGGTTCTCATGGGATCCCCAAACTGGTTGTATTGAAATGGTCACCAAGAAAAACAAAAATCACGCAAACAGACAAATTTTGAAAACTTGGGTGGGGAAGGACGGAAAGGGCACTTAACTGTGGGTCCGAGTCTCTGTGTGTGTGAACCCCCATCAGGGAGTCAAGTCAACCGAGGGCACGTTGGGAAGAGGGGTTGCAGCATCCGCGAGGGTTTATTGAGCATTTACTATATGCCAGGCAGGGTGCTGGTTGGCTTTGAGGGTCATTTTATTTATCCTCACAGTAGCACAATGACAGGGGAGGCCACAGAAGCAAAGAGACATAATTGCTCCAGGTTGCTCTGCTCTGTCTTGGTAGAAACGAGACATTCAGGCTGGCCCAAGTCCCCCTGTGCTCACCTCACTGTCCCCACTGAGCAAGCAGATGGAACGCCAGGAGTCTGAGCCATCTGATCCAAGATCCCAGGTCCTGTTGTCTCCTACCACCTCCCCCCAGGCCTCAGTGTCTGCATCTGGAGAATGGGGATGACCATACGTCCAGGGTAGACTTGCTTTGGGATGACTTCAACTCCCTCTGTAATCTATAGTTCAGTGATTACAGGCTCCTGGGCTGGGCAGCTTCTATTTCCCTTTTCTCCTTCTTATAAAGGGTGAACTGCAGGGATTTACACTTGACTTTGCACCCAGTGGAACACATTTGACTTGTACCTTGGCACCGTGACTGCAATGCAGTGTAGAGGGTCTGGCCACCAGGGCTTCCCAGAGAGGTCCATGGCTCAGGAAAGGTGTCCTGGCCGATGGGTGGCTGGGTAATGAGCATGAGCAGACCTTCACACGTGGCCAAGAGGACAAGGCCGAGAACTACATGTGGACAGTCACTCACTCAGGGATCCCAGGTAAATCCTATGGTCCAGCGGTTTACACCCAGAAAGTACTCGGAGTGGGGCAGCAGTGGGAGGCAGGGCTGCTTGGCCTGAGTGTTCAGGAAGACGGGCTGTGGTCACAGTGTCCTTCGTCCAGGGTGGACTCGGCCTGGTGAGTCCTGACTTTGCTCCTGGTCTGGGTGGGAGGTACCCTTCCTCACACACGCCTGGTGAGGCACATGCACTCTCTGATGTCATGGATGCTTCTAGATGACCTTGGGCTCTGGAGAGGACTTACCATGAACTCATACTGCAAATCACACATACACTTGATTTTTTTTTTAAAACCAAATGAAATGGGTAGACATTTTGCTTCTGAGATGAGCATCGATGATGACCTTCGTTCAGCTTTTCAGGGGTAGTCTTCTGTATAACAGTTGGGTGGACTGTCCCATCATGTGGTGCGCTCTTCTATCTCTTGGTTTTTATTCAACTAAACCAAGTTTTGTTGACTGTTCCAGGTCAAGACATAGAAAGAGACCTCCTTTTGTATGACTGTGAGGTGCTCTTGTGCGTGGCTTGGAGTATCATGGTGATTCCTGTCCAGGTGAACTTTCCGACCTTTCCCATTTCAACCAATGCTTCCACGAACACACCTTTAGGTATTTTTATCTAAGTATGAAATATCTTTCATAGAATAAAGCCCAAAGCTCTTTACCCTTTTGATTCTGACAGTGCACTACTCAATTGCCCTTCAGAAGCCTGGGTAAACTAAAGCCTTCATACGGCAAGATCTGTCCCCCGCGCCCTTGGTGACCCTTGAAACTCGATGGCATTCTCCACGCAGATGGGCATAAGTTTCCCTCCTTGCCCTTCTCATCTGTGTTGCCGTACCTGTTTGTGAGGATTCGAACCTTCCTGTGTCCACCGCAGTTTGCGTGTTTCTTTGGCTCTTCTCCCCCGCTCCTTCTGCTTTTCAATGTCTCTGTTGCACCTAAGAACTCTGCACTTGGGACATACGTGTGCCCACACTTGACACATCAGGGAGACTGGCTTTGCACATACATCGCAGATACTCTCACCGGCTGCAAAAACATAGAATGTTGGCATTTTCAGACGTATTGAACATTTCCTTTATGGATGCTGTCTATGTCTCACTTATAAATAAGGCCTTCACCAGGAGAAGATTATAACAAAACACGTTTTCTACATTTTGTCTTTTCCCCTTTGTTTTATCTGTAGAAGTTGTAGATAATCAGGTCATATTGGTTTTAATAGCAATGTCCCTCCCCCGCCACCCAAAAAAAGAAAAAGAGTCATCTAAGTCCAACTGGGCTTAAGGAGGACCAGAAAGGGCTCTTGCCTCCCTTTTCTTAGTCAGAATTTTGGGGAGAAACAGCAGCCTCCATTGATGGTTGCAGTAGAACAACCGAAAGAATCTTCTAAGGGAGAGAACAACGGAGCCGGCCACCAACTTGGGGCAGCTCCGTGGTCCTTTGCCTCCATGGCCAAGAGCGCCTCTCTGAGAGCACTGAACTGCTGATGCTGTGTACAGTGGATCACAAAGCACTCGGCTGTCACATGTACCTACTGAAAATAAATTAATTAATTAAAAAGAAAAAAAATGAATCTTACTGGGAAAAAAAAATCTGTATTTATTGATTTGTTTTTGGTTGATTTGCAAGAGACGCACTCCCCACCGACTACCTCCCAATTTAGTCCAGGGTCTGTCTGGCCAAGCCCTGTGCAGATCGGCCGTCTTCAGGACCCCAGGATGGCCAAGATGGCAAAGCTAGCACGAGGGTGGGAACGAGTCTACAGGACTCTGCGATTAACCAGGAGCATCCTGGGGAGACTTAAGGGACTGTGAACATCCGTGGAAACTGGAACTTAACAAACACAGAAAGAGATATCTGGGGGAGTACAGAGTGGGGCTCTGTCCCGGGCCGGGGGAAGGGCACCCCAGGAAAACCAGGTCTGACCTTCAGCAGATTTCAGGTAACAGAGCAGAACTTCTGTCTCTGAGGCTGCCATTGGCTCAGTCTTGAGCACCCAGAGTCCTGCTTGGAGCTTACAAGGAAGAGGAGGGGGTGGGAGGCTGTTGGGTAGGTGGATCAAGGGTGCTGCCTGCCGGAACCCTGGAGAGCAACACCAGCTTCCAGCCAGATCCCAGCCCTGATCCCTGAGCCTGTGCCTTCCATTGAAGGATGGAGAATAAACTATTTTCTGGGGTTGCCAGAGGTGCTCTGCAGGGTGCTCCGTGCCATGGAGTGCTCAGTGAAAGGAAGGGATTGCTGGGAAGACTGATGGGCATGCAGGTGACTCACGATGAAGCTCAGTGAGCACCATCATTGAGGGCTGAGGACAGGGCTGCAGGAGCCTTTGGGGGTTTCTTGTGTGGGGGTTCACTAATGCTTCTTTGAGGGATAAAGGAAGATTTCACAAGGAAACAAAGATTTTGAAGGCTGAATAGCAGTTTATCCTTAAAAACAATTAGAGGGCATTTGCAGGATTCCAGGTAGAGAGAACACAGACAGAGAGAAAGGTTTGTGAGGAGAACAGAGTGTGTGTGTGGTGGGGCAGGGGGGGCACGTCTGTGTGTCTGTGTGCATTAGGGCATGGTGAGCAGCTAGCAAAGGAGGGTCACAGGATGCCCAAACCCCAGGTACTGATCCTGTGTTGATGCAACTTGTAGGTGGGACCGTAGCAGCAGAGGAGGACAGAGGTCATCAAGATGGTCTAGTGCCCCCAGGCACTGTGACTCCTTCGAAAGACCCCGCTGTGCCTGAGTGTTGCTCCCAATCCTTCCCTACCCATGTGTTCCCTGCATTCTGACCTGTGCAGAATTGCACGGTGCTTCTGGACACACACTGCTGGCCCCAAACCCGGGGCACACTCTACCTCTGTGGGTTGCAGGACTCTGAAATGCACCTAACCCCTGTGCAAAGTTAGAAGGCCAAGAGGGAGCCCGAGATGCTGCAGTCCACAGTGCTGTCCGCAAACCCTGTGTCTCCTGAGCTCAAGATTTTAGCAGAGAGGAGAAAGTGAAGAAATGGGACGTGGACAGACAGTGTCTCACAGGTGTCGCTGATGGGGCAAGGAGGAATCAGAAGCCCCAGGGGCCACAAGGCAAAACCACCCGGAGCTCCCAGCCCATCTCCACCTCTGCCCCAGGTGCCGCCCTCTCCTCAACTGGATTTAAATCCTGCAGCTTTGGCAGGAGGAGGGGTGGGTCCAGGACACTGCTGGCTCCCTGTCCCCCTGAACACGGGTGCCACTGCATAATGATCAGGGTTGGCTCAGGAGAAGGAAACTTGGTTCAAAATGTATGAGTTCATTTTTATGTTCTACTGAGAAAATTTATTCAGTGTGACTGCTCAGTAGCGAGCGCCGTAAAACACCTTAATCCCTGGTTGAAGAAAGGTAATGCCTTGACAGATGTGTGCCTCCTACTTCCCTCCCGGCCATGTCTCAACAACAAACCTTTATTTCTGCTTCCCGGCTGTAGCCGGCAAGAGAAAAAATAAGGAGAGCAATAAAGCAGTCAGAAATCTCAGGAGCCAGGCGGCGATGCCGTCGTAATGACAGATTTTTAATGTGGCGGGAGAGATTGACAGGGAAACGTCTTCGGAGCAAACGCTCACCAGATGGAACGCAAACGGTTTATTGGAGGAGAGAGGTGCAGCTGAACCGCGGAGAGGGCGGGTGCAAGGTGGGCTTTCTGGCTGCGGCAAGTAAACACACCAGAGAGGGCCAGGGACGAGAAGGGAGGAACATCCAGGGAGGAGGCAGTGCACCCGGGTGTCCCTGGTGGGCCTTCCCTGGGAGGATCTGGCACCTCCTCAAACCCCACTCCGGAGTCCAGCGTAAAGCCCTGATGCTGGGGACCTGGGGGATGCTCTGGAATGGGAGGGCCTGGATTTCAGACCAGGGCTGGTTAAGTCGACTGCATCCTGTGGCATCTCTGAAGCTTGGGGTGTTGCTCCTCTTGGGTACAGATGCTTTTGTTCCACAATCATTTTCAGCATCTCCTTGGCACCAGATGCTACCAGGATCAGGCTCTGTGGGCAGCAAAAGGAGGGCAGCTCCAAACTTGGGTCCAGTGAGATGCACTCAGTTAGCATTTATTATTGGGCTCTGCAAAAATAAATAAATAAATAAATGAAATAAATAAATAAATAAATAAATAAAAACATGAATAGCATGTAATTCATTATTAAATAATAAGCATGTGTAAAAACATAAATATGTCCATTTGTCTATCAACCTACTCACTAATCCATACCATTCATTCATACTGTTCATCCAACTGCCCATCCATCCATCCATCCATCCATCTTATTTTTTCCTTTTAAAATCACTTTCCTCTATACAATGGCTAATATGTTTGAAGCAGCCAAGAACAATGACATCTCCCCCGTGCAAAAAAATTCTACAAAAGCATGTGATAGCATTTACAACACTGCAAAAGCACTTATTGTAAAATTCTGCAAAATAATCCGAGTCCGGAGGCATGATGTGACATTTAGGGGCCACGTGTTTTATGAAGCTGTGCTATTTAGGTGAGACTGAAGCAAAGAAGGAATTTCAGACTGGAGGGACCCCAGATTCCATATGAGGGACTTAATGATACGAGTCCTCCAGGTCTCCTGATTCAAATTTGGAGACTGTTTCCATGGTATTGGGAACCAGAGACCTTGAAGAAACCCCTTTTCTGTTCTGGCCTCAGTTTCCCTGACTTGTGAAGTCAGCTGACGTGATTCCCCCACATCCTTTCATTGCTGAAACTTTCAGATGCAAAGTGCAGCCTTCTGCCCGTGGATGCTCTTAAGGAGAACAGCAACTGCAAAACAAGGAAGCCCCGAAATGGCATGTGCCAGCGGGACCCGCTGCGACAATGCAAATCAAGGTACTGTCTTAAATAATGCATGTCAGATGAATTCATCAGCACTTTAAGAAAAAATCCAGTTCAACACAAAGATGGCCCTTTTCAGCACCGGAAGCTACCACTCTGCTTGTCCTTGGAAGCAAACAAATGAAACCCCATGTTTAGAAAGGATGGCAAGTCAAGTTGAAACCTGTTGTCACAGCCCTGCAGAAAATGCAGATCCGTGAGATTGCGTGCCAGACGTTGGGTGCCAGACATCTTGCAATGGGGAGGGAAGGAGAGGAAGGGCAACAGAAATAGTGGTTAAATGGAAGGGCAGATCGGGGGGAAAACAGACTGCTCCCACCATCCAGCCTGCACACTCCTCTGGCACACCCAGGCATCCATGCTGCCGATCTCTGCCAAGACAGAAGTCTGCCTTGACCGTGTCCGTGACGGTGACTGTGACGGAGACCCGCCAGGCACCTCGAGCCCGTGGGCGGATGGGTGTGGGGTAGAACCGACTTGGTTGGTGAAGCCTTTTTAATCCCTCTCTATGTGACTCTGTTTTCCAGCCCCACAGAATGTTGGGGGCTTTAGCATCAGAGAGAGAAAAAAAAGAAAAAAAAAAGGAAAAAAAAATCACTGAATCAGCGTGCGATGAGAAGCTGCGTTTGCCGGGTGAGCATCTGGAGCGCTTTCTGTTCACGTTTCATCCTGCCCCGTCTCACGGGCTCCAAGGAAACCTCCCCAAGCGCCTCCCCTGTCTCCACTCAGCCCCGTGTTTCTACTTTTGTCTTAAAACAAATAGCCAAAATAACAAACGGTTTTATTTTTCTTGGACTCCTGTTCTTCAGCGCTCCCATATTGTCCTGTTGAAATTTACTTCTTTAAACATTAAAATTCCTGCTTGGCTTGAGACTCTGGCTGAGTAAGGATATTCTGGTTCAGGAACTAAGTGAATGAAAGGCTTAAAAGATAAATAGGTGACTGGAGTTTTGGACTATACACAATAGGGGGTTTTGTTTTTAGAGACATTGCAATAACGTTTTAAATATGATTTTATACCATCTTCCCAATTTTTGGACTAGTTTTTAAAAATTCAAAATCTATTGTAAAAAGCCTTTCCTCCCTTTTTGTCCTGCAAGAAAGAAAATAGGGTATGGGGACTTAGCCTAACTGTACCTGCCTGGCAGCCCCAAGCCCTGGTTTCCATCTCCAGCCCAGGAAAGAAAGGAAGGGAGGAAAGGAGGGAGGAAAGAGAGCAAGAGAGCCAGGCCGGAGGACTTGTTCTGGCTCTGCTCCATTTCCTGGTCTGACTTAGGGTTGGGTTATCAGAGCCTCAACATTCCCACCTATAAGTCGTTACCATCACAGCTCTGTGATTCCCAGGAGAGTCCGCGACAGGTGCATGGATACAGGATCAATAAACCACAAATATTCTTCTTAATTTTCCTAATCCTGTTTGTGTTGACAATGGCTCTTCTCTAACTTGCTGCCTTCCAGGTAACTCAAGTGCACTGACAGACTTCCAAAATTACATCTAGATGGAAATAGGCTTGAACAATTTTGGTAGAAAGATAAAGATTAATTTACTTCTCATTCATAAATGCAGTCTCTGCCTTAGGCCAATTCCTGTTTCTCCTTTGCCTGTGCCAGAGAAGAGGGGCTGCATTGATTCTGAAAGAATTGCGCCAGGAGTCTGGTCTGTGTTCTGTTGGGTTTCGAAGTAGGAGGTATCACTGAATCGCTGTCATTTGGGTGGTATTTTTACTGCACTCCCTGCCCTTCATCATTTTAGATACTGAGCAGTTGAGATTGAGGATTCAACTGGACTCAGTTGGAGGCTCTGCCCTGAGACTAACACAATGCAAAATCTGTTCAAGTTGATGGGCTCAGGTCCTCTTCTGGGCCCCGGTGAGTCACAGGCTGCAGATAATTTCTAGGGTTCTTTGCCTCTTTCTGAGCCTAGGACTCAGCTCTTCTATATCATGGACAACAATATAGCACTCATTTCATCATTTGATTCAAGTTAACAGATCACAATCTTGAGGCCGCCACAAAGTGTAAATGAACTGATTTTTTACAAAAGTGGAATTGACCTCTCATGTATACCAGTGATCTTTTTGCATATATATATTATTGTAAAAGTGACAAAGGTAGAAAATTAAGAAAGTAAAAACTCTGGGGATGTCACTGCCCTGAAGTTAGTGCATATCCTCTGATCCTAGAAATGCAAACATTTGTATACTTACTTATTTACATAAGTGGCTTCTTAAGCATGGACTGCATGTAGCCACTTTAACTACCTAGAACACCTGCTCCCGCCAAGCAGGAAGTGCAGTTCTACAACTAAGCTTGCTCACAGGCTTCCTTTCCTCCCAATCGGAGGCTAAGTCCTGTGAGGGCAGGCAATGATGACCATGCACTGTATGTGCTCTGACTTAGAACAGAGGCTCGGACAGAGCAAGTAGGACCCAAGTAAGTATTTTGAGTAAGTAAATCTGCCATGTCCCATAACAGGAAAGCATTGTAAACTGTTCCATCTATATCTCCTGCACCATGGGGGTGCAACTGTCCAACTTGGTCACTCCTTTGTCTCTGCCCTCAGAACGGCTCCTGGCACTAGGTGCTCCTTCAGTACTGCTCAGTGAATGGGCACAACCCCCAGCACTAGCCTCTACTTCTTCCAGTGTTTAGCCATGATAAATAGCAAATCGATGAACATCTCTGGAGTTGAATATTTGTCACCTCTCTAATGTTTTTTCAGAATAAATTCTCAGGAAATCCAATTATTGGGTCAATGGGGAAGCATATGTTAAAATTTTTTATTACGAATTGAAAATTTACACTTTGGACAGTTTTTTTCATTCTTTTTTTCTTGATAATTATTATTGTTATTACCAACTTACAAATTCAGAACAATGTAAGTATGGTGTTTCTCTTCTTGAAGCCTTTGCAGTTTTTACAACATCATTAATTTAAAAGGAAAAAAGTCATATCTTCTTGATGTTACGTAAGATTCCTTTGCCTATATGGAAATTTATCATTTTTGTAAATTATTTCATTGTTTATTTCCTTTTTCATTCATTTATTTTTTATCTTCTTAGTAAATAAATTAAAAATGCATAAATCTTTGGGATTATACTTGACAAATACTAAAGTATCATTCACTGTTACTATAATCAGTATTTTATTTTTCCTTCCTGTTTATACCAAGTTGTAAGAATTTTCATATTATATACCTGGCAAGCATATTTACATATGATTAT